AAAGAAAGAAAGAAAGAAAGAAAGAAAGAAAGAAAGAAAGAAAGAAAGAAAGAAAGAAAGAAAGAAAGAAAGAAAGAAAGAAAGAAAGAAAGTTGTTTTTCAAAAGATGATTATTTACAAAATTATGGGTAAAAATACCCCCAAAATAATGAGCATTTCAAAATTTGAAGACCTCAAATTCTTTGAGAAAACCCTCATACTTTAAAATTGAACATTTGTTTGTTTCTCTAAGAATTATATTATTTATATTTCAAATTATTCCGAATGCTTGTCCTTGGCAAAAATAATTTTTCAGTGCCTACTAAGCATGATTTTAAAATCTTTCTGCTCTTGGTGCAGATTCATATTTCAAACATTTATTTCCCCCTCCCATCAGTTCAGTAAATCTGTTTTCCATGCAGAACTTCCATTTGAATCTGAACGGCTGCACAGCTCGGCACCAGCGCAGCTCCTTGCCGGTTCATGTCAGGGGTTGAGAAGTGAACAAGCCAGAGAATAGTTAATAATAGGCCTTAAAAAATTCTTTTTCTACCATTTTGACTTCTTCTGAGTAGAAGTAGATGGGGAGAAGCAGCAAAATAAGGACTCAGTCTGGGGTCGGCCTCCAAAATAGGGCAGTCTGCTAAGGAACAGCCCCTCTGCTCCTTGCAGCAAGAGACCAAAGGGCGTCACTTGGGAGCCTGGGACCTCACTTCTGCTGCTCTTTGTGTTCCCCCTCTCCCGAGAGGCAGGGCAGGCTGCCAGCCGAATGTCGCCTTCTCCATGGTGGTGAGATCTGCATGTGTTTCAGAGGTAACAGTATGCTGGGTGAAATGAAAATAAATAAATAAATAAATAAATAAATAAATAAGAGGGGCATTTACCAGAAGGCAAGTCTGCTGCAAATGCACACTGTAGAAGACACAGCGTACACTCCTGCTACTTACACGAGCTCCTCACAAGCAGCTTTGTGCAAAACCAAAGAGGTAATGCCTGACACTTGTCCAAGTGGAGCAATTGCTTCAGCGAAAGAAGGAAACCCAAGTTGTGGAAGCAATACGCAGTGCTCTGTGCCGTCATGTGGCACAGAGTCTAGACTGTGCACCCAGGAATGACTCTCTCCTTGAGGGCTGATTTTGGTGGGTGTTCTTCATGCTCAAGTGCGTGTTAGTGGAATTAGATCTGATGATGAGGGTTGGTGTGGACTCTTGTTTCCTTTCTAAACAGCTGCTTGACTGAGAACCTGGCTAATGTAAGGCACAAGCAAACACGAGTGCTTTAATGCAGAGCCGGACAAGCATTCATGAAGAAGGGCTGCGATTGTTTTGACTTTTCAATGCACTCTGTGAAATGAGTTCTTGTATAGGAAATTATCCTGGAAATGATCTATATTCACTAATGATCTCACTGCATATTTACAGTTATATATAAATAGTTTTTTTTGGTTCTAACTAAAGAATTTTAGGTGGGTTGAGTCACATAAGGGGGTACAAAGGCTTGGAAAAAGCAGCTGAGAAAATCTCAGAGAAAATCACAGCAGCAGTGAAGGACAGGACACTTCTAGGAAGGATGTGGGTTAGAATTAGCAGTGTACTATTAACAAACCACTATGGGCCTCTCCTCTGGTCATACGCTGGCAAGGTTTCACAAGCAGCAATGTGAAAAGAAAATCTTGAGATGCAGCTTATTTCTAAAAACATGAAGAATTATGGGTTTTGGTAATTAGCAAGGTGCAGAAATTCACAGGTTTATTTGAAAAAAAAAAGTTATAAAGCAATTAAAAGTTATCTTCTAAGTACTCTTTTACAAAAGAAGAATCGTGTATCACTCTGAATGGCTCAACAGACAAGCAAACAAAACAGCAAACAAAGCATTAAAATTCATAAAGACTGGGACATAAAAAATAATGAAAACGTAACAAGCCAACTATATGTTTTGTTCACCTTCCCTAGAAATAGCACAGCCGATGTCAACATGATCATCCACTCTGCAAAAGTTTGATCAGAAAAACCTCATGTTTCATTGGAGATTAAATATTTATAAGGCCAGAACGGATCAATCTCTTACTGAATCTGGTCACATATGACAATATACACACATGATAATATACCTTGTTGCAAGCTCGTTAAAAAAAAAATCTGCTGATTGAAGGACATTATTTCAGAAAGGTGTGTTCTGTTGACTGGAAGATATCATGAAACGGATGGAAAATTCAGCCTTTCCTTTAGCAATTTGTCGTGCTTAACAGTTTTCAGTGTTCCTCAATTCTAATTTGAGTTGGTCTGGCTTCAGCTCCCAGCTGTTGGTTCTTGTAATGACTGACTTCACTTAGCTAAAAAGCTTTTTCATATGTAATATGTTCTCCTATGAAACTTTCTCCTATGAAATTTTATTCCACATAATCACTTTTTTTTTCCCTGCCAAAATACGCAGATCCAGCTCCTTAAGTTTCTAAGGCAGTTTCCTCAGTCTCAGATAATTTCTGTAGCCCTTTTTCTTGTACCCTGTAAAATTTCTCAGCATTGAATTGAAAATGTGAACACCACAACTTGTTATAGATTTAATATCTCTCTTGCCAAAGGTATATACAGAAGTAAAATCCCTTCTTAGCAACTTCTGTTTACATTTGAGGATTACTCTCTTCTTCCACAACAAAATTAAGCACAAGGAACTCCTGCTGCTTTGCTTTCCCACTGTGATCTCTATGCTATTTTCACAATCACTGGTATGAGTTTGTAAAATTCATGTGTTTTGCTGCACTGAGGAGATGGCACACAGGGGTATTTCTGCTATTCCAAGGCAAGGATGTTTCTTCCAAGCTCTTCCATGGCTGATGGAGATTGCAGGTAAGCAGACTCGTTGCTTTGGGTCATCCCGTGCAATCCCATGATATTTGCTCATGAGCCTTTGCGGAGTCATTCTTTCCACGAACCATTCCATCACCTGTGGTCCTTGTTCTTAGATGAACAGTGATGCCAACAGCGTCGCTCACATGCTGTTTATTTGAAAGCGCTAAGACACTTTCCGAAAGACTAATGTCCCGTTTCCCATCTCACCATTCTTCCAACCATCGTGTCATTGAGGTGATTTTGTATCAATTTCCAGGTACCTGAGGAATATCGAAGGATTTGCAACCTAACTACTTAGAACACTCCTTTGTAATAAGGATTTTCTTCTGACTCCACTTTAGGCATTTTTTTTGTCCATTGCTCCACGCTCCATTTTTACTGTGTTGTGCCTCTTTTATGAGACCACAATTTCAGTTTTCACCAGCCTTCTTATTTCTGCACTTTTTCATTCTCTATCAATCCATCAAAAGGAATTCAGCACACTTAACTTTCAAGTTTAATGCACTGCTTGTGAGTTTACTTGGGTCAAATTTGGCAGAAATAAACTAAGATCAATATTGCTGATCTTCTTTCTTACCCTGTTAGTCTTTGTGCTCAGGCTCCCTAAAAGCTTTTTTTTTTTTTTTTCCCCTCTTTTTCTTTTTAGGGCTTGGCAACTGTTACCATGGTGTTCCCAGGGTTTTTGAGGTGCAGTCGCTGTATCTATGTTGATGCAGAAGACTTCAGGCTCAAGAGCTGTTGGTCCGATAGCTTTCATGAGCACTGAATTAACTGAAACTAAAGATAAAACCAGTGCGGTGAAACAGGATTGGGACATGCATTGACTTCCTTGTCCCCTTCACTGCTTTAAGGAATACAGGGTTATTTTTGTTGTTTTTTTTTGAGATCAGAAACATTTTAGAGTTAATTTTAATTTTGCCTTTAAGGGTATGCTTATTTTTTCCTCCTTTTCATTTTTTTCTTCTTTTCTTCTCCTCCGAGGCTCTAAAAATTATCAGCTAGCCCCCTGTTAATCACGCGCGCAGATAGTCTGCGGCGCACGTTTGTGTCTGTGACAACACAGCTACTCCAGTGACACGGTCTGCGGCAGCTGGGATGGACGTGGTGATTTTTCCTCAATGATGTATTTAGCGGGGAGCCGCGGCCGGGAGCGGGGCGCAGCATGTGGCGGGTGTCACTCATCCGCTCGAGCCAGCGCCGGCCGCGCGCGCCGGCTCCGCCGCCGCCGGCGTCACCTGTCCCGCCGCTACTGATGGCGGCAGATGAAGAGATCATCATCGTGCGGGGCTGGAAGGGAAAGCCAGAGCTGTCAGGAGGGCATAGATTAACGTGTCTGAGGACATGCCGGGCACCTTGCGTGCAGGGCTTGTTTTTTTCCCTGGGAAACCTTGTGGAGCTGCTCCCAGGAATCCACAGAGGAAAAGGCTGGGTTTTGGCCTCCAGGGTTGAACAACTGGCTCTTCTTGCAACCCTGCACAAGCTCCCTCCTTTGGAGGTGCATTCATCAAGACACTCTAGGAGTATCCTCATATTTGTGTTTTCATGTACGTCGAATATACAAATGCATATTTTCAGTGCTCTGCTCTGGACATAGAGGCAATTTTGGACCAAGCGGCCCCTTCCAGTGACTCCTAAACTCATCAGCACAAAATAGTCTTTTTTCCTGGTTTATTTTACATTTTTGACTGCTAGCATGGAAAAGTAAAGCCAGGCTGTGTTCATCCAGGCTCTGTCAAAGCTGATTCAGCAGTAGCCCCATCCATGCCATATGTACTCTGTGCTCCACAAGTAAGTGGGCCGGGTGGATTCTCTGCAGTACTGAGTCTTGGGAATTTTAATAGGACACATTCATACTTGTGTCTGCTCTGTTTCGAAAAAGAAATTGTTTTTATGTAAGGGCCTTTATTCTTACAAATGTTTTCACCTCAGAAATGGTCTCCTTAGCCCTTTGCTAGAGAATATTTCAGAGAGAAGGAGGTAGATGACAGAGACGGACTGTAGCTTGAGGACGTTAGAGGCTTGGTTTAAGGAAACAACAACATCAGTTTTTTAGTAAAGCACAAACAGGTAAGAGGCATTTTTTTCTGACACAGATTTTCACATAATAATGACAGGATGAGAATAAGATAGGAAAAAAGAAGTGAACCTGTGAACCCCTCTGAATGATGTAATATTGCCTGCTACAAGGCGTGAAAGTTTCCCCTCATGAAAGACTTAATCCATAACTCACAGAGGTAAATGGGAAGGAGTCTTTCTGTTTTCTTCACAGAAATGTGCATTTGCCTAAGCCTGGAGAAAATGCCATTATGAAATGTCAACAGAAGATATTCTACAACAAATAAGCGTAAACTGAACTAAAAAGAAAATTCACAGCAAAATACTGGAGGTGGAGCCATGGTACAGGGAATTGTGTTCTCATCTCCTGGAATTGCCCCAAATAATGTAGTTCCTGAGTTGTGTGTGATTTCAGAAACATCCCCCTCTTGGTAAAAGGCTGAAAAATACCCTTATTTTATGAAAATTTGCAGAGGAAATTTGCAAACTTTTTGTGACTATATTTAAGAAAGAACATAGTCTCAATGACTGCAAAAGCAAACTCCATCTTTGGAAATGAAGTTGGAAAAACAATCAAGAAAGACAAGAAAACAACAAGAAAGGATTAAAGGTAGAAAACAAGGTGTTGCCATATAAGGTATGCATTTAATCTATGTGATGGAGAAAAGGAAAAACATGTCATTTGATTTTCAGAATTTGCTGTACCCCAGTATTTGTTGTATTCCAACCCATGCACTGGAAACTCTGCTGTAGCTTCTTGTTTATATTTCTGCTTATCTCATTTAATACTTAAGGATAAGAAGATAGTATGGGGGTGAATTATTTATAATAATTAATGATACTCCAGATGCTATTGAGTAGACATGTACCTTTGCTCCACATCCCTCCTTGTAACAAAATGCTTGAATAGGCATAAAATTCCATAAAATAAACACAACACCAAAGGGAAATCATAATGTGCCTAATGGGGTGGTCATGCAGTAGGATCTTTACACAAGACAGTCATACAGTTTTAGGAAGGATGTTTTCTCACCCTGAGGTATGAGTCATGAATTTAGAGAAAGTGAGTCATTTTATACCTTCTTCAATGACAGCGCTTTCTTCCCTTAAAAAGGCTCACATCCATTAAGGTATCTCTGGTCTATTGAACTGATTTCACGGAGATAGTACCATACCAAAAGAAGCTTTAGAAAAGCAGGTCCAGTTCTGAAATTTGAAACGTCACAATATTTCATCTGATTTTTAGAGGAGATAATGAAGAATGCAAGCTCACATCAGAAAAATACCGTGATTCGGGCAATCTCTCTAAGTTACCATGACATTCCTGTTGGATTTCTGCATTAGCCCATAAGAACTTAGTGCATAGGACAACCATAACCATAAGGTAACAGATACCTGGAGATGCCGCTTCACGAGGGATGAATAGGCAGGAAGGGGCAAGAAAGCGCCATTGGGGGGGGAACCTGCCACCAGCTCCGTGCCCCGGCGGAGGAGCGGGAGCGCCGGGAATCCCTCTGCGCTCCTTGCTCTCGGTGCCGCCCGCGCGCCCGGGGACAGCAGCATGTCTTTCAGTATGCCGTGGCTTTCCAGCATGTGCGTGCCAAGCCCGACTTGAGTCTCTCGCCTTCCAGCACCATGCAAACTGCACAGTCCTCACATTCCTGCAGTGCGGGGCGCCCCGCTCCTGCCCCATGCAGGCAGGAGCACAGCTTGCTCCGTGGAAACACAGCTCCAAGTGCTGCTGTTGGGCCCTTTTCCAGGTGAGCATCTCCTCGTCTGTTCAGCAAAATACAGTTACATGCCATGGCCACACTCTCCTCACCTCTGAGTGTTGAAAAATATGCTGTATCCTCCCTGTCCCTGTGCTCTCTCTGCCCCCATAGTCCTTAGATGCAGAATTGCAGCTGTTTTTGTTGCTCACAGACAGTTAGGGGTGTGTGCTCTGCTCTTCCCTCGAGTTTCAGAGGTTGCCAGTAAATGCTTTCTAATGTTGTATTTGCACATTATCCTGGTGGAGTGTTGAAAGGTAGTAGCCCATAAAAATATGATAGTGTTTGTCAGCTCAGTGTTCCCCAGTCTACCCTGCCCAGAGAGTCCTTCGTAGGCTCATTTCCACTCCGAACCTCCCTGAAAAATGTACATTCTTCTCTTAAACCCAGTAGAATCCTAAAACCTACTGTCCAACGACACTATCCTACACACTTCTGCTATTTGAGAAAAGCAAGATAACGCCTGCTTCATGAATTGAATCAGTGTTAATCTCTTAAATTGGTGATGCTGCCTCACAGCTTCTGGACCGATGAGAGAAAGCTGGCACCAGGGGAAAATGAACTTTCCTTGGGTGTTCAGGACATCCTTAGCCTGCATTTTTTTAATCTATGCAGTTATACGTGTTTTGGTCAGAACTGTGTTTTTTCCGCTTAGGGGAGCACATAGTAAAGTATTGATTATACATCTATACAAAACTCTAAGGAGAAAAAATACCCTATTATCTTCATCAGAGTACTACAGAGGCATTTATTATTAAGCCAAAACATCTTCTACTCAGCTATGCTTTTATGTATTTACCAAGCATCCTAAAATGTAAGCAAATTGCAAGTTTCTTTATCAAAGATTCAATCCTTTTGTTTACCACCTGGATTCTGAAAGACTAACAAAAATATTTAGAATAAATTTGAAAATATTGACCAAACATATACAGTCTTTCACACTGAAAGTTCTGGAATTTCTGGTTTAATTGTCTGTCTGTCTGTCTTCCTATCTAATAGCCTATTATTCAAATTTCTCACAATTATTGGATGCCCAAAAAGAGGCTATTAGAAGGGGGTTTTATGGAAAGGGAAAACTGAGCTCCTAATATCTATAAGTTGAGCCTTCAGATCTATAAGACAGGGCAGGGTGAGCTCTAAACTGGGAATTTGAGGCACGCACCACTTTCGTAGACAAGATTCACCTTCAGTCTCTTCTATTTAAGGGATTCCTAGCATTTGCTTTTGCCATTTGGCCAGACACTTGTCCCAGAACAAAACACTTAATTTCACATAACTCTACAGAGACCCTATTTTTCTCCTTTATTTTTAAAGGAAATATGGAAAGCCACTTGTTGTGAACATTGATATCTCTACAAACTCTATGCAGATTCATTAACATTCAGCTATATAATATGC